TTTCAAATTTGAACATGGGAAGAAAGTGTAGGGGATAGGGCTGTAGAAGTGGTTATGCCAGCCAAAAGGGAGATAGCAAAATAATAATATAGATTTCCAAAAGATTCAGAAAAAAGCACAGTGGATCAAAAGTGTTCCAACTAAATTAATCATGGTAGAAGATGTCACGGATTACAATGTATAGTACATGGGAGTTTGCTCTCTGCTCTTCCCACCTGATGCACCTTTGACACGGGCTGGAAGATTTATAGTGCCCACAGTCTCCATCAATATTTCCAGAAGTACCACTATCATGTTGTGGCACACCAGCTCCCCCCCCCCCCCCAAAAAAAAAGAAAGAAAAAAGAGCAACTACAACAAGTTCAGCTTCTTCTAGAGCTACTGATATTGATGAAATGAATGTATTTAAAGAAAGAAAGATGCCTTCAAGTTCGATTCAGTTTTACCAAACAATGGATATGAATATAATGAAGCTGAAAGCCATTGGCAATGTTGCAAAGAGAGATTATAATTAAATACACACGTGTCTCGCTCAGCAAAACTCGAGATGGCCCTGTTTTTGCATTTTCGATGTATTTTATGGTTGTTCACCACACCCATGCCATGACCGCATGAAATAGGTTTCATTTGAAGCTTCACAAACTAAGGCACATCAGGCATCCAGGCTTCACTTGCTATGTTGTGATCAACTGTTGTCACATGCTAGAGTCAGTTAGCCTAGAGGAAATTTTGCACTTCGTGTCTGTAACCTTCCAGAGAGGCATTGTTGGCCTGCACTACTCTAGATCTACCACTTGCTGGGTAGGGTTTTTTTGTTGTTGGAAACCACAGAAAAACTGCAGAAATTGATTGGTGGCAATTTTGAGGGACTTTCCATCGACATTCCATCTTGATATTGTTATCCTAAGCTCATGCAGTTAGCATATATTAGGACAGGCGAAGAAAAAAATAGCAAAGCTGTCATCCTGATCATGCAAACAGTAACTTTTTCAGAGGTAAGAGACGTCTTTTTCTGATTGGTTTCAGTTATGTGCACACCATCTGAAGATCGACATATGTGTGTGTGTGTGTGTGTGTGTGTGTGAAATTAATTTTCTTTTATGTTTGTTTAAACATGTAGAATGAGAACGGTGTCTCTTGTAGGCTATCCGTTGCAAGTAAAGAACCAAAGTTATCCCACTTGAGTGCCACAGTCTGTATTTCATGGTAAAATGCGAACGTAATTCATTTTCATGTTGACGAATTGATACACTCTGTCACTGATGTGATCTTCCTTTGTTATAAGAGCCGATAAACTCTCACAACAAAGCAGCAACAACAAAAATACATTGAATTTAAGTAAGGTTCCATGTAGGCCAGTCTAGTGAGTACAGCGCGAGAATGCTCCATCACCCGCACCAGCGCATTAGTCTATCGCCGCTTTTCGCATTTACCCTCCGGGAACACGGTAGGCCTCCAATGCCGAGGCCAATCGTCCTAGATATACGTCCTCCCCTGAGAAGGCCTAGCTGAAAACCCATAATTAAAGGCACAAAAAATGTAACCTTTCAGTTTCCACGGACTCTCAAGCTAATGAAATTAACTCATCTTTGGCAGCCGTTTTCTAACTAATTTTACCTCTGAAACCAGGTGATCCCCACCTCTTTCATTCGCATCTGGACTTCTATTCAAGATAAATGAATATTTTTTTAATCCAAAGCAAGACAAATGAACAAGCTTTCAGATGATACCAATAACTCTAAAAGCCCCCAAATTGACGACAGCCTGAATCCACCTCGTCGTGACACAGACACATGCTCCATGTGACGGCCGTTGTCATTCAGGTGTAAATTGCCTCGAGTCATTTTGACTTCTTGTCTTCGCTAAGATTTCATTTCAGTTTCAGTTCAAGCAGAGATGGTAACTCCACATGATTTTTTTATACCGAACTTTTTCGGTACTTGGAACGTAATCTAGAAAAGATCTTAAATCTGTTAAATCAGTAAAAGCCAACGAACTTGTGCCACCCTCGAACTGAAACTGAAAGCGAGCGGAAGTAGGTCTCTAGTAAACAAATAACAAAGACAGGACAGGCCTTCGTGCGCATGCTCGCAAGAGCGAGATTTGCCCATTGTTGCTTATCGTACTCACAAATTTGACCCGACGGCACTCCGTTAATTTTCCGTACTTCAACATTTTCGTAAGTGGCCTATTTCCATATCAAACGGTAGTTTTGTTGAACTTTATACGGCCATTTTTCTTTCACGGACTTAAGGCTATTCGGAATCAAATTCAGACCCGAGAGTCTGAATATCCTCCCGTGGCTGTTCGGACTCGAGTCTGAATAGCCGCGGCCGTTTACTTATGTAATTTTGACAAATCGATTACCTCAATCTAGTATCTTGATCTAGTTCTTCTACTCCTCAAATACAAAATTAAGCTTAATTTTGCAAATTTCGAACATTAGGACAAAATAAGGGGGAGGGAACTTCAGAAAAAGCGCCAAACATTCCCATTTCCTTATAACAAGATGGGAAGGAGTTCCGCAGAGGGCAGGCCGTCCAACAACACACAAAAGAGGGGATATTTTAGGCCTGTTATATCCTAACCCTAACTCTTGCATAGTTTGCTCAGTGGACCTTGTCACAGTGAGTGCCGACCCTCTGTGTAACTCCTCCCATAAGATGTTTTGAAATTAGATTTCCTTGAAAGCTGTGCATCTGCTTGTGAGGGTGAAAGTAAAAATTTACAGGATTCACACCCACAACACCTTGATATCTGCATGACTAAGGGCTTCAATCTAGATCTACATGGATGGGTTGGTGCTTTTTCGGTAGTTCCAACCCCCCTTATTTGAATTTGAGCCTAGATCTAGATTCTACATCTAGATATCTATACGTCTGATGAGCGCCGAGCTAATATCAAACTTAACAACTGCAAAACATCAAATTATGGTAAAATTCAGGGGGGCACCCCCTCCACCATATTTTTATTAGGTTGGGGGGCAACCCCCTCTGAACCCCCCCCCCCTACTCTTGGGGCCAAAACCAGCAAACAACAATGGTGGGGTGGGAACTATCGAAAAAGCGCCGATGGGTTAACAGCGACCCCCAAACCACACCCCTTCCCTGATGGCTTGGCATAAAGGCAAAGGTTAGGATGGATGGAACCTAATGAGGGAGTTTTGTCTCAAATCAGGGCCGACTAAATAAACAGGGGGAAAAACATTTTTCATCTTGGACAGGTCAAAATTTTAAAAAACCTCTGGAAGGCTCGAAGTCAAAGTAAAAAAAGGTAGCCTACTTTCATATGGAATTCCACTTGATGATTCTTTTTGAGCAGGTTTCTTCCGATTCAGCTGACATGAATTAAATGATGAGTAAATCTAGATCTAGATCTAAATACCTCAAGGAAGTGGCTATTCTCACCCGGGGTGAGACACGACCGACCTCTCACCCCGGGTGAGACTTGCCACCGTAGGCTATTCTCACCCGGTGTGAAACAAGACCTGTTTTTCCTAATTTCGGAATACTTTCTATCGATGTGGATGATCAAATGGATAAAGGACTTTAATAAAGGCAAAGAAAAGATTACGTTATAGCACAAAAGTAAACTAATTTTATCGACTACAAAGATGCTATGGCTATTTCACTTTTCGAATCGAGCCGAACTACGGGGGTCGCCATTTTGTTTTGCCCGGAAGTTCTCGCAAGATCTACTCCTCCCCTCTTCTCTCTCTCTCTATCTGAATACTGTCTATCCGTGTGGACGATCAAATTGACCAAAACAAAGTTAAAAAATAATGTTAAAGCACAAAAGTACATTAATTAGGTTGTCTACAAAGATACTACGGCTATTTAACTTTTCGAATCGAGCCGAACTACGCGGGTCGCTATTTTGTTTTGCCTGGAAGTTCTCGCGCTAGATCTACTCCTCTCTCCGCTGCCCACAGACAAAATTGTACGCTTTTAGTAGGCTAACAGTAGTAATGGAACATTTGTTCACGGCACAGAATTCTACAATTTTTCTGTTATCACAGTGTAGAATTCTGTGGTTTAGGAAGCAAAATTGGTTGGCCTAGATATCTAGATCTAGGATTCTAGGCTATAACTAGTATAAACGGTGAGCGCGCACCGGGTGAGAATAGCCAAGACTTGCCTGCACTATTCTCACCCAGGGTGAGGGTGAGAATAGAGGTGGCCATACCTCAATCTGGCGGTGCTTTTAACGGTAGTTCCCACCCCCCTTTTATTTGAGCCTAGAATCTAGATCTTGATCTACCTACATTGAGATCTAGAATCTAGGCTATACATTGGTGATTGGTCTCATTGGAGCTAAGATATCAAACATAACAACTGCAAAACATCAAATTATGGTGAATCCCCCACCTCATTTTTATTCTAAGGTCTAAGGTCAGGGGGTAGCCCCCCCCCCCCTGACTCTTGGGCTAACAAATACAATTGCGGGTTGGAAACTAGATTAGATTCTAGATCTACCGAAAAAGCGTCAATCAGGCCATGTGATAAAAGTTAACCAATAGGCCTACTGATATAGATTCTAGAGATCTAGATCTAGATAATCTAGATATCTACTGCCTTTTACAAAGGCAAACCAGGCTTTTGACTTTGTCAGCGTCCAGTCAGTCAGCTCACTCACCCCCACCCCTCCTTCACACTACAGTACAGAGCACTTCATATCTGAGAGTGCCTTTGTCAATTTCTACACGCAGGAAATTTTAGTTAAACAACTGTTCGTGACTTAAAGTCGAAGAACTGAGGGCACAAGTACTAAGGAAATCAAGCAGAGGAGGTTGGTAAAAGTGAAAGAGAACAGCTAGGCCTAGAATCTAGATTTCTAGGTTGATAGAGAGGCGAAACATCGCGAGAAACCGGTTATCGAAAATAGGTGGTACATGACGGATACAGTAAATACCAATGTAGTAGCTGCAGTCGCTCTATTTAAGTAAATGCAATGACAGAGATTGAATAAAAAGGTATGTCATGAAAATTTTAGGAACTTACCTAAATGAAAAAGGTGGAGCGAACGCTGGTGTTTCTGCTTTCAGTCGGTGGTTTTCTCAGTTGTTCGTTTTTCTCTTTTGTTCCAATCTGGCCAGATGAGAAAGGAAAATTTAGTGCGTATGAACATTAGTTCAGCAGTGAATGGCGCGTTCATTGGTCAAAAAATATTTCTTTTATTTTTGTAAACTCCAAGCTGGCCTAATTTTTCTTTCAGAAAATTTTTTTAGGCTATTTGAAATGGAAAAGTGTTTTTTTATTCTTATAAAATAGATACATGCTTAGGCCTATTTGTTCTATCTAGGCCTAGCGTAGGCCAAGGCTAGGCTACATCAGAAATATTGTTCCTCAATGGGGGGTTTCCAGATTTTTTAAACTACATTTATTGTAGGCTAGGCTAGGCTAGGCTAATAAAATTTATTATTATATAGGCTAGAGCTCATCGGACTACACCAAAGATAGTCTTGTACTATCTTTGACTACACCACCACCCGTTCTGTTCTTTGGGGGCCTTTTGCCTCTGGATCCAACATTTCGGTTGCAACCAATTTGAATTTACTGACTCCCGTCCGCAAATTTAACAAAAGGCGGAAATGTTGAATGAAATCCTATAATATTGTAATCAGAAGTCAGTGTGTTTCATGTTAATCAGTAACACATCCCATAGCGTTATATGGTGGCGTCCAAAAGAAACTTGAAAAATAAAAAAGTATCGAATCATCGTGTTAAAGTCTTACACTACCCACTCATGCAGCATAGGCCTACCAATATAAAGCTAAATGAATTCTGCTTCATCTGACACATTAATACTTCATCTGTTTTAAGAGACGGATAAAAAATGCAGTTGGACCATATGCTGACCTCATTCTGCTCAGGAAATGCAAACTGCAATGGCATGGACACATCTCCTGTTCATCCGCCTTGCCAAGATGATCCTTCTGGGCCACTGGGCAGCGTCCATGGAAAAATGAGCAGAGGCAGACCGAAGAAGAGTTCGGAGGACAACATCACGGAATTGACTGGCATGGACCTCAAAGACATGCTCAGGAAAGCTGAAGACCGGGAGGAGTGGAGGAAGCTGGTGTCCAAATCTTCAAAAGCGCCCCGACTGACAACCAGTCTACAGGATAGGTGAAGGCGAAGAGACGCCCGAGATATGGTAATTCTAAATTTGCCTTACAATGTCTGGCTTGGCAAAGTTGTGCTAAATCAAAGAAACTTCAAATTGCCTTCGCGCGTGTATTGAGGGGCATCAATATTGATAGAATGGACATTCTTTGCATATCCATGGAATCGAGAATTTTGTCTCTGCAATACATAATATTTTATTACGATAGTTTCAAACAAAACGGAAAGCAGAGCAATCACAAATATCACACAGAACTTCGACTAAATCTTAATGTGTTAATTGTTATATTGCTTGAGAGCCATGGTTTTATGTAGAGTACGAACCATTTGGGCATCGACTCCTGGACATCATTATAATTTTATGTCTTTTCATCCAAAATGTCTCAGAGAGTTGCAAACAATCCGTCTGAATTGGGAGTAAAGTAACTTTTCTCCTGCTACTGTTTAATGGGATTTCATATCCCTGTTGGGTTTATATCGGGGCTATTCATTGGTGACCACTCCGACGTTGATATGATTTGATATCCCAAGAATTGTTTGTTGGCATTGGTCCTGAGAGAAAATGCTTTGATATGGATGGAGATGCCTACTTGAATGACACCATGCCATGACGAAAATAAGGATAAGACATGACGTTCCAGCGCTTGCGCGATGTAGCCCTCTAAACTAAGCCATCCAGTCATTCTCACGAAGGCGGTTTTGTTAATTCCACCCCAACCACCCAAAAACATGGCCTCTGTTCCTGGCAGATGATTATGTCCAAAATCTAACTAGCAGTCTGTAGCTGTATTATTAGTATTACTCATATTCAGTTCATATCGTATCATCATTATCACTCTGCGTCCCTTGGGGACCCATGCGTGTGATTTCATTTGTCAGTGCGATCACTCATCATTTCATTCTGTTCTATTATATCACTGTCTCGGGTCGTGTCTACTGTCTTCCATTTCATTTCATCACTTGTACCCTCATTGAATCATTAAAAGTTCATCGACTTTATCCGACAAGTGATGAGTCATTCTTTATGACGACACCAAAGCAGCTTCGTTAGCTTTTCCGTTTACACCTGAATCCAACATTTTCCTGCGCGTAGATATTATATCCGCTGTTTGTTGCTTTGCCACCGCCAAAGTACTGAGTACCGAGGTGCACTTGTCACCGACTCCACGAACCGTGCTTTCTCCTCCACAATGGCCATAGTCTTTTGTCCTGCGCCTGGCCGCGTGTATACAACGCCGGACGAGGACCTCGCCGTGGTCTCTGCATAGCTGAACATACATGCCTTCTCCCATCAAAGTCAAACGGCTGCTTCCTCAAAGGGGCTAAAACTCGAGAGGCCAAGGATTTATATTGGCTTCAACCAAGAAACGCGGAATGCCTTTGGCCGGAGATGGGAAGCCTTCAGGAATGGATCTGCCATCAGCGACTCTTCCGCTCCAACCCAACTCTTCCAATGTGCCAGCAAAGCTCGGAGGGTGGGGGTGGGGGGCTCTCATTCAAAGGTCCCGGGTTCGAATCCGGGTAGCAACCGAAAAATTTTCTTCTATAAAATTGTCTCCTTTCACCTCCTTTCCAGCTCTCTAGCAATATTATGTCGTCTGCTTTCGTCTCCTCTTTCTGCCCCCACCCCCTCACCTCCTTTGCCCCCTCCTCTGGGCTCCTGACTCTTTCTGCAGCCTTTCTACTGCTACTCCTTGACTCCTTCTTACAGCTGTCTTTCTGCCACACCCCTGATCTTCTGGTAGGAAAGATCTACACCTAGCCTTCTCGGACAAAGGCGAAAAATCTCGTTGGGCCCGTGTGCAAGTTGCGCACGCTAAAGATCCCCTGGTGGTCTAAAATCGATAAGAGTATGCTTCGGCCGCCACCCGGGCAAAATTCAAAATTTCCTTCCAACTAAAAGTATTAGGTGTGTCCTGCGCGCTCATATGACCTTACGCAGTTGCGAGCGCCGTAAAACCCTCTACTATAAAAAAAAAAATAATTAAAAAAGCTGTGGGTGACCTTCTGCTCAAAGCAGACCCTGGTATCACCTTGCGCAGTCTCGACGAAGTCCTGGCCTTGAGGCGATGCGGAAGCTCGTTTTCATTCCAACAACCAAAGAAATACTACGGGCTGAGCTAATCCAGGTGAAACAAAGCTCAGATGAAAACTTTCGTACGTTTGCTGCTAGGGTGAAGGGCAAAGCTGAGAGCTGTGCATTCACAGTCTCTGCTCAGTGCCAGTGTGACAAGTCTGTCTATGTTGACTACACAGAGGGCGCCTCCCGGGACGTCTAACTGGCAGGAATCGCCGACATTGACATTCGTCGAGAAGCCCTTAGTACAGATGGCATCCAGTCCGAGCCGCTGAAGGATGTCATCGTCTTCGTTGAAAGCCGAGAGATGGCCGGTAATGCCACCCCACTGTCCACATTCTCTACAATATCTAGATTTAAAAAGAGCACGGCACAGGCGCCAGCAACAGACGAGCGCACACAGACCATCCCATGCCCCTACAAACAGAAGAGTTGTGTAAGAAACACGAAGCCCCACAAACTATGCCTGGACTGCTGGCGGGAACACATGGCACACAGTCACAGATGCATAGAATGGGTACCACTGTGTCCCATTGAGAGAATCTGATCGCCACTTGACAACCTTTATCACACCTTTTGGTCGATGGCGGTATACCCGTGCCCATCAGGACTACCTGTCATCAGGAGACGGGTACAATCTCCTCTTCGACCAGATATTGGCTGATTTCGAGCGAAAGGAAAAGTGCGTCGACAATACGATTCACTATGACGAAGATCTGGAGGAGCATTGATGGAGGACCATCGACTTCCTGACACTGGTGGGCAGAGCAGGCATTGTTCTGAATCCAGACAAGTTTCAGTTTGCTCGACGAGATGTCAATTTTGCAGGGTTCCATGTCTTAGAACACACTAAAAAGCCCCTCCCAAAATACCTAGAAGCCATTCAATCCTTCCCCACCCCAAAGAACACCTTTGACACCCGTAGCTTGTTTGGCCTTCTGAACCAGGTGGCTATACTCAACTACGAGATGTCATGACACCCTTTCGATGCTTCATGAGACCAGGCCTTCAGTAATTCCTAGTAAGCCATTGTAGATGCAATCCGCCTGGGCGTCGAGATATTCGACTCCTCCAAACCTTTTGCCTCCGCCCAGATTGGTCCTCACCAGGGATTGGCTATTTCCTCCTCCAGCAGCCTTGATCTTGTACCTCTGGTATGTCAGACTGCCGCCAAGATGGCTGGAAGATCACATTGACAGGATCCCGCGCTGAACAGCGCTACGTACCCATTAAATGCGAGGCTTTGGCGATTCCCTGGTGATTGCGCAGACACGGTACTTCACCCAAGGCTGCCCCAACCCTCTCGTGATCATCACGGGCCATAAGCCACTCACAAAGATCTTTAGAGATCGCTCCCTTAATGAGATCTCAAACTCCCGACTCTTTCGCTGAAGCAGAGCACACTGCCTTGGCATTTGGGCATCGCCCACTCACTGAGAAAAACAAACTCTGCTGCAGACGCAACTTCTCGTCATCCCTCTGCATATATACAGAAGCATCACGCGAGGACTGCTCTGAACCTAATTAATAGCATCAATATGTCAGAACGTAAAGGGGCTCGCCCCCACCCCTTGGTCTCGGCTGACACAGGAGACAAAAGCGGACTCTTGTCCCAAGTGATGAAGGCAGTTTACTCACGACTACCCGTCAATCTCACCCTTCATGCGATACAAGGACTCCCTGTGCATCCTGGATGGTGTGGTTATGTACCACGATCGTGTGGTGGTGCCATCATCCCTTCGACCGTCGATCTTGGAGGGAGTACACTCAGCACATCAGGGCGTATCGGCAATGGAACTGCGGGCCCAAGTTACCATCTTCTGGCCGGGTATCACCAAAGACATCCAATCCCCAAGGGCAAAGCAAAGTGTCGTGAATGCAACCGTAACGCTCCATCCCAGGCGGAACCAGCAAACCCGCCACCCATCCCTTT